TTGGATGATCTAGCTGAAGCGGAAGAAGATGCCAATCGACCAAATAGAATTTTTTTAAGAAAAGAGGATCCTTTTGACTTTAGTGACCAAATATTCATAAAAAAATGTTCGTCTAAGTAAACCTTTGGCACGGGATTTAATAGAAAATACTGGAAAATATAATATGTTATTACAGTTGTCAAAAAATAATAAAAAAATTGCCTTCTAAAATAGTTCTAACGTACAACTTAAATTTGGCAGTGGTGCTCCGTGAACCTATGAGATGTGAATGATTCAAGAATACCGAATACGATGACCGAGAAAACAAATTGGTGATAGGACACTTCACATCCCACAGTGGAATGTCCACATCGTTCAACTTGGAGAATAGGGCCCCAGGTGACTTGTTTAAATATTGAGTATAATAGGCACCCAAAATTGCTCATTTTCCTTAAGTAGGATACACATGCAACGTTTTTGCGTCTTCTCTTTTAGGGTATCGCGTTCAAATTGGCTAGATCTCTGTCAAGTCGAGGAACTACCCAACCACCCCAATCAGAACGCTGCGCGCCAGCGCCGTAAGCAAAATGATTGCATGATAAATAAAAGTAAATATTGACGTATGACGTTTTAGACTTAGGTGAACTGCTTTCTAATTGGATAGTTAATTGTCAATATATTAACTTTTGAGACATTGATCTTGACCAACCCAATAATTGATGATGGCATAATATAATAAATCATTCGAACACTCGATAAATTCGATTTTTAATCATCCGAGTATTCGATTATGACGATCATTCAAATGTGCCCATCACTACTGTACTAGACTAAAAATTAGGCGTATCAGTTTCTGTGTTCCTTCCACCTTCTACTGAAATATATTTTAAACCAATAGGGCGGTGACTTAGCGTATAGGAGGCCGGGGGGAGGGCGACGCATCCTTCCGAAATAATGAATAGGTGGTCATTTTTATATTTTATGGAATATATCTGTTATTTACGTTTGGAGAAGAAAATTCTTCAAATAAAAGTTACTTCTTATATAATTATCTATAATTTTTGTTTTATGCAAAATTTTCCTAAAATGGTCCGTATTCGAGAAATTTGACAAAATGTAAAAAAAATAATTTTTTATAAAAATTGTTCAAATAAAAGTTATTTGTAATATAATTCTCTATAATTTTTATCCTATAAATAATTTCTCTAAAATGGACCGTATTCGAGATATTTGAGAAAATGTGTAAATTTCGAATTTTGAAGAAAACTCAAAAACGGATAAAGGAAAAAACATTAAATTTTAAACTTAAGTTTTATTTCGACCTGAGGTGAACTGATTAGATTTTGGACAGAGTCGGAACATTTGGGGGGTACTTTATTGGTGGTCATTTTTATATTTTATGGAATATATTCGTTATTTACGTTTGGGGAAGAAAATTCTTTAAATAAAAGTTACTTACAATATTATTATCTATAATTTTTGTTCTATGTCAAATTTTCCTGAAATGGTCCGTATTCGAGAAATTTGACAAAATGTGCAAAATTCTGATTTTTAAGAAAATTGTTAATCTAAAAGTTGTTTGCGATATCGATCTCTATAATTTTTGTTTTTAAATGACTTTTCTAAAATGGACCGTAATGGAAAAATTGGAGGAAAAGTGCTAAATTAAAATTTTTCAGTATTTTCGTTTTCAATGAATATCTATAGAGGTAGATGTATGTGGAAAATGTATATATTTAGTTTATCCTCTAAACATTTTTAGAGATGCTGCAATAGGTTAACTAGATAGGAAAGTCATGTGTTGGACACATCAGATTTTTTAAATAGTTCTTTAGACAATTTTTTTTAAACAATCCTTCAATTCGATGATTTGGGAAAATAATGGGTATTACTTTTTACGAGAATTGATTGAAGTTGAAGTCATACAGATTTAAAATTACTGTGCCATTTCTATCATCATTTTTAATAATATTTTATAGGATTATTTATACTATTTTTTTATCAAATATTTTACAGTTTTTTGAACAATTTTTTACTACCTATGCTAGGAAAATTGAATTATACAATACAAAAACTGACAAAAATAATTAAATTTAGAGATTCTATAAAATAGAAATTGTTCAATAACGTTTCTCCCCAACTCTAGTTCAATTTTCGAAGGGTCAACAGGCGTCGGGCGGGAAAGTGGGGAAGGTGTTATGATTTCAAAACAGCATTCTCTAAACTGCAGCATCCGATGGGCTGACCCTATCCGCTCTCTATAAATAGGTAACTAATAAATTCTAACGCATTTATTAACCGGTGCATTACAATTTACAACATGAAATTGGTAAGTACACAACCCGTTTCTAATTAGAATTATAATTAAATTCATATCTTATGAAAGATAAAAGATGCGACAATAAATTATGTGTAGTTGTGGAAATGCCCTTAGTCGCTAAACAAAAGAACGTAGATTGTTTTAATTACTAAACACAAGAGCAGGTATTAATTCTTGTTTATTATAATTCACAATAACTAATCAAACATTTTCTTCTTTTTTTTTTTCAAAGGTTTCCTTCCAGTGCATCTTATAAGTGAGAATTACATTGATAAACCAATATTTTAATAATAATGTTTATTCAAAGAAAAAATACAAATAAATAGGTACAGGCAGTGGCGGCTCGTAAGCAAACTATTGGGGTTCACAATGACAGAATGTAGATTTCAATATAGAATTAAGTAAAAAACTTTCACTGTTTATTTATTTATTTACCAAAACTCAAACAGGCCTATTGGCCTTTTTACATGAGTAGTTTTCTTAACAGCCAAATATATGTAATTTTATAACATGATGCTCAAATTATAATAAAGTACAGTGTACATTTACGGAGGCAGTTAAATACAAAAACCGAAAAATATAGAAAAAAGTGCTGAACTGATATATCTATAATTAAAAACTTAAAATGTTTGGATTAAAAACTTAAAGTGTTTAGATAGTCATATAAAACCATTTTAAATTGGATATGACCCATAGTTTTCAATTTCTGATGTTTCTCCTGCATTATGAATAGTTGTATAATAAGATATTTTCCATTGTGAAGGGAATATAACACTTTTAACAATAAAATTATAAATATGTAACAATGGTATTTTTAACAAGTAACTACATCCTTTTAAGATATATGGTGGAAACTAACGCTTAACGTAGATAAAACAAAATATGTTACTTTTACTGCTTTAGTCACAAATCAGCCACAAGAGATTACTATAAAACTACATGAACTAGATTGCATAAAAAATAACTGTAGTTGTACAAATATTGAAAAAGTTTCTACTATGAAGTATCTAGGGGTGATTATAAATCAACATCTTCGTTGGTCATATCATATAATACATATTAGTAAGCGTTTAAGAGCTCTAATACATCAATTTTATATTCTAAGAGACATTTTATCTAGAATTTGATAATTCTTTATAATTCTCTAGCCGAATCGATTCTAAGATATTGTATTACTGTATGGGGAGGCACCTTTAATACCACCCTACAAACATTACAAACAATTCAAAATACACTATTAAAAATTATATTTAAAAAGAATAAATTGTTTTCCACCGATGACTTGTACAATGAAACAAAAATAATGAACATAAGATTACTTTTTACTCTTCGGTGTTTAATAAGAATTCATAACTCTACTGAAAAATATCAATTTAAAAATACAGGTAAAACACGAGCCGCTACTAATATGGAACTCTGTGTCACTCAACGATCCTATTTTTATTTCGGTCCGAAATTTTTTAATTTTTTACCTGTTTAAGAGGGAAATTAAGAAGTATATAATAAATTCCCCAAATACTTTTTACTACATACTCTCATAAGCCTACCAATATATCTAGTCACGTGCAAATCATTCTATACGTATAGTCATGTGCAAATAGTTTTATACGCATAAACATAACTTACTACGGACTGTCCTTGTTTGTTTATTTAACAAAATTTACTTTTCTTTTGCTCATCTCCTCTCCACATTGTCTATTTTTGTATATAATTAATATTTAATTTATTTTTTCTTATTTTTATCATATTTCTTGCTAAAAAATATGTATCATTCAAACTAGATAGAATTTTGCCATTATAAATAGTAAATAAATTAATACATAATTGAGAAGGGGTCCGGAAATAAACAAAAAGACAACACAGGCACTTCACCTAGGTTTTTAGTTTGTTTTCGTGCTCCTCACCTATTAGTTTGTACTATTATATAATGAAAAAATGTAGACTAATTACTGTATTACTAAATAAATTGAAATTGAAATATTATCAATTCCTGATGCCTGTTTTGGCTTTAACTTTTTTATGGCTTTGTTAAAATCATTTTCATTTATTTCAGATAATAAACACAAATCAAAATTGGCACAATTATTTATATAATTATTTAAATTATAAATAGATTTTTCGGAATTTTGTACAGAGGAAAAAAATTCCGCAAATTTTTCAGCTACATTTTTTCAGGTACTGATTTTCCACTTAGAGTAAATGTAGATATTTTAGACTTGCTGTTTTTTTGTTTACTATTTATAAAATTCCAGATTACATTAACATCCGCGAAACTGTCATTTTCAATTTTTTTTGGATAATTTCTGTACGTTGTTTTTAAATTTGACTTGAGTTCTTTTCTAATTTGTATAAATTTCTGATTATAAAATTCTGAAATATTTTTGAGTTTTTTGTATTCCTCTTTTCCCTTAATAAGTTTTTTAATGTCAGCCGAGAACCAAACAGGATACGGTCTACAATTATTATGAGTTCTATATAAAGGAACAGTTTACTGGAAAATATTACTTATAATTTCATTAAACTTTTCAATTTCCTGGGTGATATGAAATTTTGTCATAAATTAACAACGTTGCTGTGACTCATTCAAATTAGTTTTTCTATTTGAAAATCTCACATTAAAACTTTCCAAAAAATGTAATTCAAACACAGAAACACTGTTAAAAATCTAGTTTTTTTTTTGAAAACATGTTTTTGTTTACAGATACTATTTTCATTTTTGATCGGATCTTCCTTGGCAGGCCGTTTAGACCCATCTTATTTACCTCCAAGGCTAGGAGGAGGATTTCGAGGCATATCAGGACCCTTTGGAGGAGTACCTCCATCTGGTTTCATAGGAGCGGGAAGTGCATCCAGACCCTTTGGAGGGCTACCTCAACCAGGTTTCGTAGGAGGCAGAGGTGGAGTGGGTTCCGCTTTTGGAGGCAGATATTATGATGGTGGTTATTATAGAGGTGGGCCGCAAATACCAATTCTAAGGTTAGTTTTTTTATTAAAGAATATATTCTATTCTATAATCAATTGTTTAATCTATTCTATAATATATTCTATAATATATTTTATAATATATTCTATAATATATTCTATAATATATTCTATAATATATTCTATAATATATTCTATAATATATTCTATAATATATTCTATAATATATTCTATAATATATTCTATAATATATTCTATAATATATTCTATACTATATTCTATAATATATTCTATAATCTATTCTATAATCTATTTTATAATCTATTATATAATCTATTCTATAATCTTTTCTGTAATCTATTCTACAATTTATTCTACAATTTATTCTACAATTTATTCTACAATTTATTCTACAATTTATTCTATAATATATTTTATAATCTATTCTATATTTTTTTCTATAATCTATTCTACAATTTATTCTATAATATATCCTGTAATATATTCTATAATGTATTCTATATTCAATTCTATAATCTACTGCCTAATCTATTGTATAATATATTGTATAATCTGTTCTATAATCAATTCTATAATATTTTCTATAATCTATTCTAAAATCTATTCTATAATCTATTCTATATTCTATTATATAATCTAGTCTATAATATATTCTATAATCTATTCTGTAATCTAGTCTATAATATATTCTAAAATCTATTCTATATTCTAATCTATTCTACAATCTAATCTATAATCTAATATTTTCTATAATCTATTCTATAGTATATTCTATAATTTATTCTATAATCTATTCTACAATCTGTTCTATAATCTAATATTTTCTATAATCTATTCTATAGTATATTCTATAATTTATTCTATAATCTATTCTACAATCTGTTCTATATTCTATTCTGTAATCTATTCTTTATTATATTCTATAATCTATTTTATAATCTAGACTATAATTGATTCCATAATGTATTCTATAATATATTCTATATTCTATTTCCTAATATATTGTATAAACTATTCTTTACTCTATTCCAAATTATTGTGAGATAAGACATCTATTTTCTGAGATATTCTGATTGACAAAGTACCCTGTTTTAAGGTACGAAAACAACCCGAATCGAGGAGACGGTTCCTACAACTGGTTCTACGAAACCGGAAACGGAATCGTAGCCGAAGAACGAGGATTTTTAAAACCTTTAGGTCCGGAAGGAACCCAACAGGCTGATGGAGGATTTTCTTATACCGCTCCTGATGGACAGAGGATAAGTTTGCAGTATACCGCAGACGAAAATGGTTTTAGACCTGTTGGGGCTCACCTGCCGACGCCTCCACCAATACCAGAAGCCATTTTAAGGTAAATATATTGATTTTGAGTTATTAGGAAATGTATAGAGGGCTGAGGTAACACATATGGCGCCCAACATGGGGCCGTATTAAAAATTTGCGATAAAATTGTATTAATGTCTTATTTATTAAGTAATTAAATAACAAAAATGATCTTTAAAGAAAATTAAAGGCATTCAGAGAACTAGAAACCATTATTTATAAAATTAAATTACTTTTGAATGGCCTAACACTAATCAACCATTCATTCGTATCATTGTTTGTTAAGCTGCATAAAATGTTCCATACAATTAAAGACCATCTGAAATGCTTCATATCGTTGTAATAACTTTTTGCATAATAAATTATTTGTTATTACTGTTATTATATTGCAATTAATAATATCAAATAAATAGGTAGGTGTTCGCGATGTTATTATTACGAGATGGTATTTGCACAATAGAGGAGAGGAGAAAGTTTTTATTAAATGTACCGAACTAATAACACAATGGATGAACTATAAAAAGTTAGTGTTTTGGTAATCCCGTAATGAGATTAAGACGGTGTGAAATTTGCTATCATTTTTTATAAGTTCGTTGACAAAGACCTGACATCTGACCTTTCTTTGTGTAATCTAACGCAACAGGCGGAATACAGACACACATCTGGGGTTGCCTACTTTTTTTAGAAAAATAACATAACTTTGAACTATTAAAATTCTTATTTATTTAAATACATATTTTTTGCGCTTTGCAAACACTATCAATTTCAGGTTTTCTTTAAAAGTTTGATGTCTAGTATCACAATTTAAATTTACATTCTAATAAATAATTGTTAATTAAATGTCACGATGCTCTCTCTTCGGAATTATTTTTTCCTAAAAAAATTTTGTCATGTCTATATAAATAAAACAACACCGTGACTAACTGATTGACAGACAACACACATTCTAAACCGGTGGACATCCCAGTAGTGTGTGGAAAATCGATATATCCTATATTATAGAAAATATCAAACAATGTTATTTACAAAAATTGTAGATAATATTAATCTGCACTTTTCAAAATTATTTTCGTTTATACAAAGTAATCCATAACTTCAGAATTGATCAAACATATGTTTTTTTAAATGAACCACCCTGTATTTAATTTTAAATTTGAATTCCCCTGTCTTTGCCCTTCAAGAAAATACCAACATGTATGAGGTTGTACTGGGTATTTTGGAAGTTTAAACCAATTTTATATGAAAATAGTACTACTGTATATTTCAAAAGAAACAGTCGAACATCAAAATTTTTTGATGAATCATTTTTAATGATAGTCTACTTTTATAAGAATATAATAATTTTTTCCTAGCGCAACAGACGTGTACAGGGTGAGTCAACACTCAGATACATGATTTTTCAATTTTTTTAAATGTAACACCCTGTATTTCTTATTACTACTAAAAAGTACTCTAATTATACGTTCGTTTGAGTTAAATATTGCCTATCCCTAAACACAACAGTTTAGCGAGATTCTTAAATGAAATGTTAAAAAGGGTTAATTATAACTAAATTCACAATGTAATTTGATTTAAACTCTTGTTAAATATTACATACTAGTTACTAGTTAATCAGTTTATATTTTTAAGGTACCTAGCTACAATTTATTATCAACTGAATTTACTTTCTTTACTTTTAAAGTTAGGTTCACCCTGTATTTCATATCTCTACTAAAAGTACTTTAATTATACCGTTCATTTGTCCCTATCCCTAAACACAACAGTATAGAAGATATTTTATATTTGAATGAAAAAAATATGAGCCAAAAATAAGTTATTTTAAATTTTTTAGAATGCAACATTAGTGTATTAAAAAATGAAAAAAAAGCTATTATAAAAGATGCTCAAAGTGACTCCCTCCAACTGCAATACAATGTTGTATTCTAGCTTCAAATGATCTTTGAACGTTTTTCAAACGTACATCTATGCTCGCGAACACGATGATGGCACTTATTTTTTAAAAATTAAATTTGGGTACTATAGGGGTGAATGGGGCAAAGTTTATATGAAATTTTTGAAGGAACGATTTTGAAACTTATTTGTATACTATTCGAAGTTAGTAATAAAAAAATACGTTTTGACTGATTTAAGAGTTGATTTATTAAAAGGAAATTGTATTTAAATTTCACTTATCTACATAGAAAAGTAAAAAACATGCATATAAACTGAGTTTGTATGTATATAAAAAAAAGATTTATTTAGATATTTCATTATTTTCAATAAAATATTAAGAAGTATATGAGCACTGATTTCCTTTATACTCGGTATATACTGTAACTCAAAGTGTTACATATGTTGTATGTGGTGATAATAGAGCGTTTTCATACTTTATTGTATACCATTTACTTGTCTAGGTCCCTTGAACAAAACAGACTGGAGGAAGGGCGAGGAGGATACGACGATGGTCAATACAGGTCAGAACTTGGGTATCAAGGAGGATATAGATATTAATAAAAATAAGTATTTAGGAAAAAAGTCTGATAAAATATAGTTACCAATTGTGTTCATAGGCTATAACGTTTTATTTTCAAGCATTAAATAAAAGTTTTATACAACAAAATGGAGCATTATTTACTATCACTTACTCAAAAGTGTAACTCAAAAATTCCTCATTAATTCAATTAAAACTGCTGGTGTGTCCAATACTTACATTTTGAATATAAGTTTCCTCCATAATTTAATTCCTATCTATCATTAATATTAAAAACATCAAAAATATTAGAAGATAAGAGATCAATTTTCTCGAACAATATAAGCAATTTTAGGTCACAAATTAAACAATTTTTTATATTATTATAATACGAAATAATATAACAACTGATTTGCGTCAATTTTGAACATAATATATAAGTACGGTCTATATAATCAAAAAGTATTTAATATAAAAATATGAATTAATGATAAAACTTGATCAATCATTTTTTCATATCTCTATCACCAACAAAAATACTGAAAAATTAAAATTTTGCACTATTTTCAAATCCTCCATTACGGTCCATTTTAAAAAAATTATGTGTAGGATAAAAATGATAGAGAATGATATTACAACACAGCTCTTATTTAAAGAATTTTCTTCTATTAGAATAAAGAATAACAGAAATATACCTTAAATTAGAAAAATGTATAAAGTACCCCCCAGATGTTCCGACTATGCCAACAATTTAATCTTTCGCCACAGGATAGATTAAAGCTTAAGTTTAAAATTTGATGTTTTTCTCTGTATGCGTTTATGAGTTATCGAGGATACACAGGACACATGTATTCCCTCAGACAGACAGACAGACAGACAGACAGACATCATCGCGAAAATGGTCAAAACGGATTCAAGGGACCCCAATAGTCGGGGTCGAAAAAAATCATAATCTCTATATACTTTTCTTACTGTATACAGTAATGTCATTAGCAAATGAAATATTTTCCAAACGTCAGGACATTAAGTATTTGGGTATTTTTTTGACAATGTTTCTGTATTGTATTCAGAACCACAGGCAAATAAAGCAAAATTATAAATAGTGTAAGGGAAGTCACAGAGGCTAGCAGAAAATTAAAAAACAATGATTTCCAGTTCTGATGATATACGATCATTCTTTGCTAATAATTTGTATGTACTCGTATGTATGTATATATTGGCTCACCCATTAAAATTCATTTTTAATTTAGCTTTAGATGAGTCACTAACCTTTCCAGAAAAATGGTAAGTTACTAATCAACACCATTGTCTTATATCCATCCTGTAAAATTTCTCAAAATATTTTGATGTGGTTCTCTATATAATCAATAAAGGATGGTCCATATAGTGTTCTTTTTAAAAATAAAAAAAAAATAACAAAAATAAATTTTGTTCGGTATATTATTGGTTTATTCGAAAGAGCAAACATTTTTATTATTTATGGAACATGATTTCATTCATATGGCTACTTCGGCTAGCTTCGCAGTAGCCCATCCTGTTAAAAATTTTCCTAGACATTGGTGACGCTTTCTGGCTCTATCTCACGAATGGCTTACTCGATATTCGTTTTAAGAGCCTGAATTGTTAATAGATTGTTGGCATAAAATCGGTCTTTTACGACACCCCACAAAAAAAGTCTAAAAGCGTCAAATCGCAGCTGCGAGGTAGCCCGAGATGGCTAATAACACGGTTATCGAACTTGGTGCGCTAAAGGTCGATTGTGCCAAGGGCCTTGTGGCATGGCGCGCCATCCTGCTGAAACTAAAGATCGTCCAAGTCCATGTTTTTAATTTCCGGCCACAGAAAATTGTTTATCATGCCTCTGTAGCGCACACCGTTGACCGAGTGGAGTCTGCAACAGCATTTTCAAAGAAAAATGGGCAAATGATGCCACCACTCCAAAATCCGCATCAAACTCTCACTCTCTGAGGATGCATTGGCTTCTAGAAGATTACGTGCGGGTTTTCCGATCCCCAGATGCAGCAGTTTTGCTTGCTAACAAAACCGCCGAGATAAATATGAAGATGATTTTTCAAGCAAAATCATTGTCTATATCGAGCTGCTCTAAGGCCCAAACTAAAAAGCGATATCATATCGGATGGTCGTTTACTTTCAAATGTCAATTGGAAAGGTCCGCGGAGATATATTAACATTTTGTTAAGATTTCGAGCGGGAAAAATCTTTTAGTGTCAAAATAACATATGATTAAAAAAACCACTAGATGGACCACCCTTTAATCTCTATCCGTCTATTCGTAACCTAACATCACCTTCGTAACATTGATTTCTAAGCAAAGAGACCAATTTGCTTACAATAACCCAGCAGTTAACTGAAATTGTGAGTACATTATACCGATTTTTCAAAGGTCACGGTATTCTAGTTGATAAATTAAATCAATTTGGTTTCTCTCCTGTTTTACTGAACTTCTTCCAGTTCTACCTTCGCAATAGGCAGTATTTCCTTTTTAAAATCGGGCGTGCCTCAAGGCTCAAATCTTGAGCCACTTCTATTCGTATTATTTATCAATTACTTGGATGGCTATTTTGGATTAAGATAGGCTTAATTACGCAGTTGATTTATAAATGTACCTATAAATAACTATGTATAATAATAATGACTGTATATAGCACTCACAGTTTTATATAAAGTAGTGACAAAATGAAGTTTCTTCTTTATCCGTTTTTGAGTTATCAAGGGTAATATAATGACAGGGGGGGACATCGCGCATGTTGTCATGGCGACGCTGACGTCAAGCGTAGTTAGTAGAATTGGCGCGAAACAAATATCATATGACAGACGCACATTTGCAGTTTGAGTCTTTATAGTGATTTATAACATTTTAAGTAGATATTTGTATTATGTTGTAAACTTTGTTCTTTGTAATATTAGTGAAAAACATTAAAAAAGTACGGTACGCAATTTACGGATATAACATTAACAATCAAAGCAAAGGATTCAAGAAAGATATTATGTTCTTTGGCTTTCCTCAACAGTAAGAGCTTAGTCAGAACTAAGCAGTAGCCCAAAGGCGGCTCCAGGGGGGCCTGCCTTCCCCTAGATTAAAATTCTTACAACCCATGAGCCTTTTATTAAAAGGAAATTGTTATAGGCAATGCTACTTCCCTTCCCACGAAAATTGGACATGAAGCCGCCCTTGCAGTGGCTTGTGACCGTGCAGATAAATTTAAAACAGAAAATTGTCATGTGTATTCCAAGCACTTTCAAACTTCCAATTATAGGAGGCACCCCAGAGCAGAACTTCACATTGGTTCAGTCGCAACTCGGGACTTCTTAACTGGAGACTTTACCCTTTGAAGGCCGACAATTTCGCAATATAAGTAAAGGAGAAATTGTAAATGTCGCAAAAAAAAGACAAAATTTCGACTTGTACTTGATGAATGAATTAAAAAACTGTCAATGACTATGTCCAGGAAAAATACAATGGTATTTTATTTTAATTTTGTATATGCACCCACCATGTAGCAGTTATTTGTATTTGAGATATTATTTATATGCATTATGTTATAAGAATGAAAAATATTTTTTTAAAACCTGTTTTTGTTATGATCTTATTTATACATAAATCCCATCTTTTTTATAAAAAAAGTAGTTAAGTATAATCAATTAGGTAATATAATACAGCTAAATAAGTCACCAGTTACGCATCCCTAATCAGTTAAAAATTTCCGACATTTTTAACCAGGGTCCCAAGTTCAGAAGTTGCCCTTCTCATTATTATACAAACTATTGTTTAGAAGTCGAATATTTCTTTTATGTATGTATTTGCATTTATTTCCTTAACTATCCCATAATAATATACTTAGATGTTTCATGTATTTCTAAAATATTATCTTTTGATATTGATGAAATTTCTGTAAATAGCATATATTTTCCTCACACTTTGCCAGTATTTTTAAATTCGTGCCTGTACAAACTCTGCGCGTGACGTCATGCGCGTAGCCGTCCTGTTTTTGACACTGTTGATATCCTTACCTTTTATTTTTTATACCATGATATAATGAGACCTTGACTGATTGTCGACTATTTTTATTGGATCTAAATTTTGAGTGTTTTTAATCAATTTGTCAAAACATGTCATTAATAATCTGAATAGAGTCCGAGAGCTTTAGCTACTAGAAACGTGTATTTAAAAAGTACCTACATAGTATTAAATGTTTTACGATGATGCAGAACCCTGTATACACGAGTCCGACTCGCACTTGGTCAGAATTTTTTTATATTCAGTTCTACATATAATTTAAAATAGATCTAACCCTCCAAAAGTATGTAGCTAATGAACTCGTTTGCAAACCAACCTTTTCACCAAGCCAACCAACCAATGATTTGAAAAATGTGACACTTACTTTGTTTGCAGAGATCATCAATTTATCTTCACATAATTTCAATTTAAAAAGATAAAACATCATTAAATACTTCATATAAACACTTACCTTCTACTTCTTCTGTGAAGTGCAAAGAACACACTCGCATGTGGTTACCTAAAAATATCTCGACAGCTAATACATATAAACTTTTTGACACAAAAGTAAGAATAAAACGCAAACATAGAGATTAACATGTTTTTATTGTAGTTGGTAAATCGATTAAAAATAATTAAACCTTATTAAAATATTTTGTTTTGTTATCGATGAAATGAAATAAAAGATTACACAATTCCCTGAAAGCTCCCGTTGATGACTTTCTCGAAATGCGAGCCGTCCCAATACACTTTACCACACTCCTCGCAGACGTAGAAAAAGTCGTATTTGCTCAGCAACGGCTTCGGTACCGATTCGATTTGGATTTTCGCGCCTAGGCGCGTTTTGCAAAGCCCCACGTCCACCTTTTCGTCCGGATCTGTAACATCCAAAATTAAAGATGATTAGGATTCAGAGGATGCTGATTTCATAGTGACGTAGATCAATACTAGGTTTTCAGTTTTGTTGGCGCCCAACGTGGGGCCAGTGTTACAAACTGGTTTCCAACGTACTAAGTATTGCTATGAATTTCTTCACGATAAAAATGGTTTTAGATTTGTGATGGACTTGATGAAGTTTTTTCGTCAATAATGTCAGTTTAATGAGTGTATAAACACAAAAATAATTGTAAATAAGTGAGGTTTTAAATGCTGAAAGTAATATGATTGAAATCGAATACTTATATTACATATAGCATATGACCCCGATTATACACATTAATTTTATCGCTATTTTAAAAATCTACATATATCTTTTTACCAATACAGTCAAAAAATTCAGCGTTTTTTTAGAACATTTTAAAACTTCTTGATTTACATTAAATTAGTTTTTAAAAAAGAACCGTTTTCGAGATATCTTGAAATAAATGCATTGCTTGTGTACATGACAGGTTTCAAGAGTGTTAATTATGCACATTTTGATTATTAATATCTCGTTTCTAGTTACGTAAAAGATACTTTCATTAACCTTAAATTTCAATTTTATTGAATTCTTAGGAAAAGCCGTTTTACCAGTGAACTACCTCAAGCACCTTTGTATTAGACCATGATGAAAAGGAAAAGAAGACGAAAGAGAAGAAAAGTTAGGTTAAATTAGTAAAAAAAGGGTAAGGAAATTTGTAATTTTGACTTGTCATGAGAGCGTTAACATTTTTTCATGTTATTACATGTTACACAGTTCTCAGCTATCAATCGAAATAAAAACGTTAATTTTCATACAATCAGTGCATTATTTTATCAAACAACGTCTATTTAGTATTTAGGTTGGTTGTTTAGTGTAGTTTCGTATTTCTGAACTTCCAGGTAAAAAATGGCTGCAAAATAGAACTTGAAAAAATTTACGAATTTATTTACTTGAAGAATGGCTTCAAATTTAAATTGTCAGATGTAACACTTTAATATTTCTGGGTTTTAAACTTACATTTTTATTTGTAATTCAGTTTTATTAAATATTCAGAATGCACAATGATCTAACTATGAATAGCAACCGATTGCAAGCATTTTAACGCTATAAAATGGCGCCCAATATGGGATGTTATAAATTTGGCGCCCAACGGTACCTGCATTTTGGTAACATTTTCAAACATGTACTTACACAAATCCCACTTTCTACCGGCTGAATACGAAACCGCTGGAGGTGCATAATCGTCATAATAATCCTCATCGCTGGAAAATCCTGTGGCTTCGTCCTCGTAGAGACATGGTGGCGGAGCGCAATATCTCGTTTCAGCGGCTTGAAATAACGCATCGATAGTGGAACGAGACAATTTCACAAAGTTGTTACCGTTGCATACCTAAAATTAAATCTATAAATTGACATAAATTCCCTACAGAAGCCTGTGTAAGCGTACCTGGCATCTACTGAACACGTGCTCTTTCGTTACCGTCACTTTGTAATAGTCTAAAACTTCTCTAATTTGTTCGTCGACGTTCTCGCTGTTGATTTTTAGACAATGGCCTTCCGGAACATATCCTTTTAACTAAAACAAACATTGTTACAAATTTGGCGCTATCATCGATAAATTTGAAGGTTTTCAGCCATCCCTTCCAACCCGTTATAGAGAATGAATACTAACCAATTTAAATGTTTCGAAGCCCTTGGTGAGGATGTACCGGTTCTCGTCCACCGCGTATTTAACGCAGACCGTATGGTCTTGATTGTTCTCCAAGATAACGGTGTCGATGCCGCAGCTACGCAGCTTCTTGCCGAGACCTTGAAGCATCGTATCACAGACTACTTTCATTTTATCAGCAGATACGGATTCAGAATGATGACTAGGAGGTTGGCAGATCTCTTTAGCGTTCGGATTGTATTTCTGGCAAAAACAAAAATGAAAACGGCAAATTTATTTAAAAAAGAATGGATAATTGTTTTGTTGTCGGTTATAGTTATATAAACTACTGAAAAATGTGTGAAAACAAATTAGTTATTAATCTTTATACCTTTTTATTTCCGACCTTCTTGGGCGTCTTCCTCGGCATTTTTTCGTTCGTCATGAGATTGTAGCACGTTTCCTCGAAAGGAAAATTAACCTCTTCGCAACATTTTTTCAGTATGTCATAGCATTCGATTAGGCAGTAAGCGTCCAAGGCGGCATACAGAATTTGACTTTCGCGCAAAGGCCTTTTTTCCCAATTCGAAAACTGATCGGATTTGTCCAGGGGAGCGCCCAGACAATGGTGGACCAGGGTGCTGAGGCTGGGACCGCCTTTTTGTACTAAAAAATTGATCAGAATGAATATAAGAAATGAAAAATAAAAATATATAAAAATAGATGAACTGTGTCAGTTCATAAATATTGAAAATAAGATTGCAAGTTAACTAAACAATGTAAAGTGGTAATAGTGGAAGAACAGGAACTAGATATAGAAGGAACAACAATGTAAAAAATATAGAAGTCACTTCCTTCGCAAGTCGAAAATATTTAAAAAAAATTCGAGATAATGTAAAAAGGTGAAAAATATTTTAATTTGTACCCTTATATTCTAGTTTTAGTAAACAGGATACAACAAAACATCTATAAAAAGCATGTCGTCAAAATTATTACCATAATACAAGTCAATTTAAAGAGCATGAAATCAGCTATTATTAAAAAATGTACCCCTTTTACTAAAAAAACTAATGTTATAAATTTGGCGCACAACGAGGCGACTGTTACAAATTTGACGCCTAACGTAGGGTTTGTTACAAAGTTGGCGCTCAACGTGGGGCATGTAGAAAGTTGGCGCTCAACGTGGGGCAACTAGAAAGATGGCGCCCAACGTGGGAAACGTGGAGTTATGTCGGTTATTGAGTTATTTGAGGGTTAATAGACTTCCACCCCGTTGTAAAGACCATGTATACATTAAATTATTTTTGAAATATTTCGGGTCTATACCCATTACGATTAGTTTTTCAATTCAATGAAATCGGAGTTACAAAGTAAAGACACCCTATATTTATATATAAAAAAGAGAATATATACCTTCAAATGGTAGTTTCACTTCCGGATGTTTTTCTAAAATTTTCCAGAATGAACACAGATCTAGGAATCCTACTTGTTTTGTTGTAAAATTAAGATGCGGTAGTGCATGTCTTATCATATGCATATCACCTGTTAAACTAAAACCTAAAATGAAAAATAAGTCTTTAAATGTCCATATATACGATATTCTTAAAAAATAGCTCAAAAAACCCATAGTGATTTGGAATCTACTCAATGAGACCTACAAAATGGTATGTCGAAATACGGCGTTAAGAAAATTTCAATTTTTTTTTTCTAATTTGTGTTAATTTTTACAACAAAATCCAATAACATTGACGTTAAATATTAAGCTCTAAATATGCCAAAAAGTTTTCCGGCTTCCTTGCTATATTTAAATCCATTTCTACTTACCTACTTTCAATATATCACAATTATTAAAGATGAACTTCCCAAGTTCTTGCCACAGATGTGGACACTTGTTGCCGATATTTACAATATCGAGTATGAACACATTTTTTCTAGTCGCTATTTGCATCAGGGCCAACTCGTTCAGCTGTCCCCCGAAACTCGGCTTCCATTCGCAATCTATTCCAATTATATACACATCCTAAAATCATATTTTATTTAGAAAACTATCAATTACTCAATGGTTGATCGCTATGCTATTGACTTATTTACAGAAGTCTCTCAGATTTGAAGTTTTGACAGTTTGGCATATTGAAAATATAGGTTATGAGTATAGAGGAATATTAGAAGAAAATTTTAAAGTAACTATGAGACAAGTGCATTAGGATTGAAAGGTAAAGAATGTGTATTTCATTCTTCCTCCCAGTTGGGAGCGGGCCGACAAAAGCTTTCCTAGCCTCTTCAGCCGCACTGGAGGAATTAGGGATCAGGTCTGAGGTGGATAAAATGGTGGTAGGTATCCGAGAGGATATTACTGGCCCAGCATTTGCCTATTGCTTTGATAAAACTTCTGAAAAACTCATAGCAGGCCTGGCTGGAGTAGGGCATTAAGATTGAACTACTCTTTTACTATTACAAACAGTATCAGGAGCGCAGTATATAGTATATCACAATTACCTGTAAAGCCATGTCCAAGAAATTCTCAAACTTCTGCGGATCGTCTATCAAAACGATCCCTGTCGTTGGTAGCGCCATCTTGTGGTACTCAACCGGCGCTTCAGTTTGTTCGACAAGTTCGTCGTCCCAACTGATGTATTCCTGTTGGAACGCCTTTTGTTGAGCCCTATTTCCATCCGGATTTTCGTCCAACATCCTAACGCTGTACGGCCAATCTTTCCTGTCTAAATTATAGTGATGCGCCCATTTTAACGCTTCCGATAGGTCCCCGTATTGGGCCACCTGGTACACCAATTCCTTCTGTAGCTCTTCCTCGTCGCCCACGGCTTCCTGTACCATTTCCTTCCAACTTTCGTCGCCTAAAACGAATCGAAAATACAGATGTTGATCAAGGAAAGTTTAGTACAGCATGTTAGTCGCGCAGGTATGTAGAGCTTCTCAGTCTGTTACTGACAGGAAGACTCCACCTACCTGCTCTGGTTAACACGTGGTGTACCAAACTTTCGTTGGTCGACCACTAGATGGCGTTTGGTGTCGACTTACCGAAACTGTTTTCAATAAATCGCTTATGCAAGAGGAAATTGAGGGCGCCCTCGTTTCTTCTTTTATTTAAATTGGGCGTTAATTCGGGCGGCAATTTGAACATTTTTACCAATCTGGTTATCAATTTTTTCCAAGGTTTCGCGTGCATTTTTTCGTATTTTAGCTCGGGGATGCCCCTTTTACTGAAAACGCAAGCACAATAAATTCACTATAGACTGTGTAAATGTATAAAATCCACAGAGGACTCTGTATAGGACAAATTTTATTTCGTTTGATGTATTATGGTACTACACGCTATAATGTATGATCCCTTCCTACATTTTTATTTCTATGTTTTATTATTTATTTCAAAACAATGAGTAATCACTTATTGAGTAACTTTATTCAATCATAATATGTATTTTATTTTATTAATGTATTTTTATTGGATTGATTAAATAACTATTAGTTTCTATTAATTTTAAATATTGTTCCTGCTTTAATTAAAACTTTTAAACAACAGTACCCCACTCGTAATTCTTATTGAACGCAAGAGAAAATGCTCTCTGTATTATAGCCGTTTTACAGTCACGTAATTCTAGTGAAATTTAAATAGTATGTCCAGTGTAACCAACAGAATTGTCCAACCATTGATGGATTCTGTTCAATGTAAACAAAATTTAAAGTTTTGACAACTATGACATCCCTGTTTTCTGTTGCTTTATTTATAAAAAGTAACTATGGTCCATTACAATTTAAATTACATTTTTAACTGCTAAGAAACTAAAAAAAAATAAGATTATCTACAGAGTCCTCTATGTACTATACCTTTTGAAGCCTAAAGCTAAACTTTAGACATGTTTTATTTGAACTTACGCTACATAGTCTCCCATCGTTTCTCTTACAGAAGGATTGGCCAAGACGCTGTCCAAAAAACGGACCAGTTCCGTCTGATGCATGGGATTATTTTTTAAGAAATCGTCAACACCAAAAAGTCTATCTTGTAAAACTAATGGTATTAAAAAATCGTCGATAGTAAAATGATTATGTAGGCTTAGAAGTGTTGCGTACTGGCAAGCCTTAAAAGAGACATTATATTAAAACATTTTTTGAAATTATTTCGCAACCAATGAAATGATCACTAGGAAAATTATTCACTATTATTTATTCGGTTTTTATTTAACATCCAAGGGATTACGGTTTTTTTTTTCTCCTGAAATAAAAAACTAAAAGTTCAGCTTACCTATCTTAAACCAGGAAATATCGATGGCCCTTCATTTTTTTTTGTGCCAGACAAGCTGTGGTGTCGTTTGTGTATTTTGGGCTTTTTTTGTGAAAACATAATTAAAGATAGTGTTATTATTAAGTGATTAGAATAGAAATGTGTGGGTGTAATTACAATGAAAGTGAAAAAAAGAAAAAAGAAATTACATTTCACGGGTCATACTAAGCTTGATTCTAATATAATTCCACAGAGTTAGGATAAACAGAGTTATACGTATTCAATGTTAAGCTGATGTCTCAAACATATCATTAAGTTTTGCTGTTTGTTTTGATAAGGACTAAGTACATAGGTGTAGACAATAAAATAATTTGCAATAGTATAGGTATTGCTTATATCAGTGCTCCGCAACCTTTCCTCATCTGAGGCACACCAAACTGCTCCCTAGAATTTCGTGGCACACCAAAATCTAAAATATATTTATAGCAGTGGCGTAGCTAGGTCAGATTGCTTTATTTTTCGCGGGTCTCGCTACAATACGAATCTGATTCGTATTGTCTGCAAGAGCGGCACACCTCAAGTCGGCTTACGGCACACCAGTGTGCCGCGGCACACCGGTTGCGGAGCACTGGCTTATATTAGTGTGCAAGTGACACATCTTAGTTTTGGACAATAACAGGTTGTTAAAGAGCAAATATTTTTTTAAACAAGAATATGTTATGAATATGTAATAGACATATTAAGTTATTTTATTATTATTACTTGTTTTTTTGACTTAAGTATGTACATTTCATATTTTCTTAAAATAATTGAAAAAAACATGATTACTTTTCTTGAAAAATTAATTAAAATGACTATTTATTAATATATAATTTGAAATAAATTTCAATTTTAATAAATTCTAACCTAAGTATAAATTACCTATGAAATGAAAGATAAGGAGTTATATAATCAAATTTCCCACAAACTTGGCACAGCTTGAACATATTTATTCAAAACTATCTTTTTATTACTAAATAAAACGTTTTAAAAGGAAATATAAACACATCAAAAAACAAATGGCAACACAAAACTAAAATACTGCATTACTATGTTAATAATAATTATAAATTACCATAAATTGTATACTTTTGTCATGTTTCTAGAACATTAATTGAGTCATAATTATAATGAAACAAAATAGGTATATAGTACGAACATTTTTATATGAAAATCTTATTGTTAATAAAATTAATAAAAACCCAGGTAAATTATGAAAATTTCATAAAATGTAATTGTGTTTTCTTAGATAATATCACTAAATATTTTTAAAATGAAGAACAAAAAGTTTAATTTAGATATGTCAATGCCCATCTCATGATAATGTAAGCTGTTCTATCAGTATTTTTTCCATATCTATGGTCCCTTGTTAGTCCTAATCAGGGTTGGCAGGTACGTTTTTTGCAAATAGGTTTTTAAAGTTAAAAAAAAAAAACTAAAAGTGAAAATTCTGCTAGATTATATATTTTAAGATTCACTATAACACTTAGAAGTAAAAAAAATACCTTTTTTTTTCACTTAAGATTTTTTTTGTTTGCAGAATTTTATTTTTTAAATTTGCCTTGTATTTTTTATTTAACTCAATAATAAAAAGGAAAATAAAATAAAATAAAAAAACACAAAGCCATATGTCACATAAAATACAAGCAATGGTTTCCCTTCGGAAAACAACTCCTCTGGATAATACCTCAACAGGTATTGAATTATATACAAATAATTTCAATACTATCTTTAATTTTGCTTACTAAGGGGAACGTCATTCTTAGACCAGTTTCATCCTTATTAGAACTCATCAGCAAAAAATAGATAGGTTCTCAATTCCAGTCTCTAATAGAATTAGAAAAGGTACCAATTCACTAGTATACAATAACGTTCCTAGTAAGCAAAATCAAAGATCGTTTGTTGTACCCAGTTAAGAAAAATAGATAGACCAAAAAAGCGGAAAAAAACCACTCCTTTGGCTAATACCGCAAAAGGTATTTAATTATATACAAAGGAAAGACAGCAGAGATAGAAATGAACAATTTCGACTCTCTACCTTTGATTGTTGTCTCTCTAAAGCTAACTCTCTCTAGTGTGAACCTTTAAACGCTGTAAAACAAAAGATGGGGTCTCTGTTATTTTAAAAATTTTTAAACTGTAATCGTCCCCAATGTTTTATTAAATATTGACTGCACCAGTAGATGGAAAATGTTCCGAAACATTTGTAGAGCTTGTACTTAAATAATAAAAAATAAAAACTATGTGGCCGTGTAAACCAAGGAACTTTTTATTTATATAAAATTCTACTACGGTGTTAATTTTCAACATATTTATGTAAAATCCCCAATAACTTTGTAAAATAGAAATTCTTTATTTTAAATAAATATATTTTGAAAATATAGGCAACAGTGCTTACATGTGTGGTGTGTGCTAATAACGTAACCTTAAAACGTGTCCATTTGAATGTTAAATAAAAAGAGAATGGATAATAGAAGATATTTCATAGGCCCTCATTTTTAGTTCCAGCACCTAAAGTATTTGTATACAGATTGTACCTAAATATCTTGTACATGTGGAAGGGGCAATTCATTGGCTTATTTCATGACTAAAAATTCATGTAAATATGGATCCGCAAGAGTGTTGAAATTTTGACACCTTACAATCTACAACTTAATCCTTTAATTTATAAACACATGCAGACACAAGTTACGCCTTGAAATGCAAACTGTCATAATTGAAGCCCTTAGTATAAAAAGGATGCAAGCCACAACTTGTCGTGAAGTGATTGATCTAGCTCAAAACATCTGTTAACAAGGATACTAGGCACATACAAATTATTTTACCTCTAATCCGAAAGATGGCGCTATTTTTCGTAATATTTTTTTATTTAAATAATTTTTTTATTTTTATTTGAGATTTAAAACTCAATTTTCTCAAAACATTGTGGCATGTACCCTTATTACGCCAAGGTATTCAATTGAATGGGTAATTTCAAAAACAAGTAAAAAAAATCAATTTTCAGTAGACACAAAAATCTTTTTTATACAAAATTTACATTTAGTCATATAGGCTGAAGGACCTCGGTCAATGGCCTTTTGTAACTTTTAAGTTTCAATAAAGCACTTTTATTATTATTTACATTTCATTTGAAAAAAATTTAATAAAGTATTTTAATTATGTTGATGACTATCCAAGATCATTATACATATCGGATGTAACGCCAGAATAACTAAAGAATATAATCAATCACTTGAAAAATAAACACACAACAGCTGATGATAACGTCATGTGATGTTAAAATATATCAGCATCCATATAATACATCCGCTATGCTATATCCTCAATGAATCCTTTAAATCTGGTATTTTTCCAATGCGATTAAATACTGCTGTTGTAATACCTATTCACAAAAAAGGAGATCCGTCCCTAGTAGAAAATTATAGACCAATTAGAGTTCTGTCTTGTTTTTCCAAAGTTTTTGAAATTGCTATGTGTAACAGACTATTGCCATTTTTTCAAAGTGGTAAGTCAACTACAACAGCAGTCTTCAATTTTGTTGAGAGAATTTTACACCTTTTTAGATTCAGGAAATATTGTTCGCCGAGTTTTCTTAGATTTAACAAAGGCTTTTGATTGTGTGAATCACCATATACTTCTTAATAAATTATACAAAATTATGACTGGTTTCAACCCTATGTTTCAAATAGGACACAACGGGTTTGTTTTAAATATAAAAATAGCGAATATTACTCTGAATCAAAAAATACTATGCTGGGTGTTCCACAGGGAAGTGTCTTAGGTCCTATTTTATTTGTATTATATCTAAACGATTTACCAAAATTTTTTACAAATGATTATGTAGCTCTCACTAATTATGCGATGACACAAATGTCTTACTATCTAGAAACCATTACATAGTACTTGAGATACCTCAAATGCTGTAAAGATAATTTCAAAATGGTTTGTTGAAAATTTGCTATTATTAAATTTATCTAAAACTAATTGCATACTTTTTAAGCACAGTCATAATAAAAATGAATATCCAGAGGATATTAACTTATTTAATACATTACTAGAATATTCTAAATCGACAAAATTTCTTGGTGTAATAATTGATGAGCATCTAACCTGGGTGGAACATCTACATTCACTTTGTGGAAGGGTCAGCAGAGCTTGCTTTGCATTGAAACAAGTTAAAAAAGTAGTAGATCATTCTTATCTTAGATCAGTGTATTATGGTATATTCTATTCCTCAATGTGCAATGGAATTATTTTTTGGGGAGGTTCACACTGTCAAGAAGTCTTTGTAATACAAAAAAGAGCAATTCGAATATTGGCTATTCTAAAGCTTACAGAATCAGGTAGAGGTCACTTTAAAAATCTAAATTTGTTGACAGTATATGATAGTTACGCATATGAGTGTATTATGTTTGTGTAGCAGACCACCTTTACAACACAAGGTTCAGAAATAATTTTTGTCTACTGACTCATAGAACTATCCTACTGGATGCTGCTATAAATGTTTGCAATTTTAAAATATGCTTCCTGATCTTTTAAAAAATACTAAGAGTCTATCAGCTTTCAAAAATAAGGTCAAACAAATTTTTATTTCTATTGAGCCTTACAGCTTAGATGATGTAAACGAAGTGATTGTAAGTAATTATTATTTGTAAATACTTTGTGAAATCAACAGAAATCTATACTAGTTTTCAATGGTAATATGGGTTTTGCTGGGTTTCCTCATATTTCTTAGCAAATGCACCATTATATTCATTTTTAAGTCATCCCAGTGTGCACTTTGTAGGATATCAAACTAGTACAGATAGATTATCCTTGCTTTGGACTTATACCATACAATTTTATATGTATTTTTTTTTCTATATAATATTGTTCCTGGCATTAAATTTTTTTATTATTATTAACTATTTAGATTTTATGAATAGAATGGAAGATCTAAAAAAACCCAAGTCAAAGAAAAATTAATATATTTTGTTACCACATAAGTCATTATGTTGTTTTTGAATGGAACAATTTTTTTATATTGTTTTTGAAAGGAAATAAGGGAAAAAATTTACATTATCAAAACGATTAATAAAAATTATTTTAAAATTTGAAGAGAAGGTAACATTAAGCTTAAAAAATAATCTGATAATATAAATTAAAATACCAACTTAAAAAATCAATGGTCCATGCAAAAACCACATGTCGTCATCTTAGATGGTATTTGCAACGAATACAAAAATTTAAAAAGGTTTATTTATCTAAGGATAAATGCTACTTGTGTGATTTTTGAACATAACATAATTGTAGGTACCACTGACAAGACTTTTCATGACAAACTCAATTTGGCCAAAAGTTTACTTATGTGATTTTTGAAATGACTGATTCAATTTTTTTTTTTATTTTTCTAACTTTCGGTTAATTGATTATGATTCTCTCAAAAGAATTATTTTTTCATTGCCAAATAAAAGTAGTGCAGATGACATTAGCTTGAACTTGGTAAAAAATACATTTAACAGCATTGCTAATCCTCTAATTAATACTATTAATAGCTCATTAGAGATAAGTAAAGTACCACAAGATATTAAAGTTTCTACAGTTATACCAATACCCAAGGTTTCAAACCCTAAAAATGATCAGCAGTTACGTCCTATAAATATGCTCAGCTGTATTGATAAATTTCTCGAAAAGGTTGTTTATGAACAGATTATGGATTATATTGAAGAACACAAGTTAATTAGTAAAATTCAATCAGGATTTCATAGCAAGCATGGATGTGAGTCTGCATTACAGTGTGTACTGGATGATTGGAGGGGGGAGATTGATAAAAACAACTTTATTATAGCTGTATTCTTGGACCTTCAACATGCTTTTGAAACAATAGATCGACTTCGACTAATTAAAAAACTTGAAAGTATAGGAATCAGAGAGACAGTTTTAAATTGGATCATCGATTACCTCACAAATAGAAAACAGAAGGTAAAAATAAAAAAACATTATTTCTGATGAAGTGGTCAATGAATATAGTATACTTCAAGGGAGTGTGTTGGAACCCTTATTGTTTCTAATATATGTAGATGACATAGAGGAGCTTCAAATCCAATGTTTATTGCATTTATTTGCAGATGACACACTTCTATTTTACTCATCAAATAACATTAAACAAGCGGGGACAGTTGTAAATAAAAGTTTGGAAAAATTATATGAGTGGGCATGTGCAAATTTTTTAAAAATAAACGTTAATAAAACTAAATATATGTTTATTAGAAATGATGGGGAATATAATAAGTTTCATGTAGATAACTATTTAATTAAAATTAGAACATATAAATTACAACAAGTTGAAGAGTTTAAATATTTGTGTGTAAAAATTTATTTATTTATTTTATTTATTTACGGGCAAGCCCATTTGAGAAATAAATTACAATTTTAAAATTATAATTAAAATGTAGTAAAATATATATGGTGCTGAAATACATACAATTGTGGTATAATTCATAAAATAGGTAAAGAATTTAAAAGATTTAAAAGACAATAAGGTTGAATAAAATATTTACATTAAAAATTAAAGATCAAAGATAGAAAATTAAAATTTAAATATCATGTTAATTATATTATAAAAACAATATCTTTTAAAATAAATTATCTATACAGATGTAGTAAGCACCTGACGCAGTGGACGAAAAATATAATATACAATTTATTTTGCTCCATTTTACTTATTGTGCTACAATACTCTACCTATTAGGACAAAATGAAAAAAGTAGATTACAAAAACTACAGAATCGAACAATCCATACGATACTGTCCAGCTCTAAGCTGACCCCAATAAAAGATATGTTATCTCAGTTAAAGTGGCTTCTAGTGACATATTTCATAAGGTATCAAACCCTAATTTTTATATTTAAAACTAAAAAGCTCTCAAAACTCTATATTTTTTTAAAGGATTACAGGTATTCAATAGCCTCCCAGACTCTATAAAAAAACTTAACATACTTACAATACTTACTTTTAAAAGCAAGGTTAAGCATTATTTGTTGGATGGGTAAAACTCTGAAATGGTTTTATTTTTTATTATTATTATTGTTGTTATTATTATTATTATTAAGTCTAATTTAGTACTGCTTTAATGTATTGTGTATGACATGTTAATTAGCCATATATGACTAAATAAAGAGATATATATTAAAACAAAATTTTATCCACTATAAAGTGAAAGCTTGTAGGCTCCATTTTAAAAATGTTACGTTCATTTAGCAAATTACAGAAAATCATTGATTTTTTTTCCTCTATAACGAGTGCAGATACAAAAAACTAAAGAAGACCAAAAAGTTTTTAAACAAAACAGAAAATTTCATTTAGCAGTGCATTGCATAAAAGTTCAGGGGAAGAAAAGGGCGCATGACCCATGAAAAAATATCACCCAGTACATTCTCACAACCATTTGGCATGCCCAATTATTTAAGCCCTACAGCATAACCCAGATTTTCAAAAACTGCAGAAGCTGTAAAGAAAAAACAAAAAATCTTCAAATGTCAACACCCTGTAGATCTGTAACGAAGCATTTGCAGACTTATGTTTATATGCATGTTTAGTCATGAAATAAGCCAAAGAATTACCACCTTCCATATGTAGACGATATTTAGGAACACCCTGTAGATAATAAATATTAAACTGTAAATTATTTAATGTGTTTTTTTTTCTTATTGATTTATAATAACATTGTCTAGTGCTTCTTCCTACCTCTTTATATTGCTTCTTGTCAATCAAACACTTAATCATTTCTAGAAACAACTCCCTTTCCTCTTTAAATTCGAATACCTCTATAATCAGCTTTGTCAGAGTTGAGGAATTCTGTCTCAGGGATATTTTGAAAGCATCCATTTTTAGCTGATGCGTCAGCAGATGTATTATGTTATTCCTAGATATTGCACTCCAAACTTTGAACTCTTCAATTATAAACATAGGCAGAGTTTTACTTTTAGCATTATAAAATTCTTGACAGCTACACAAAAGCCTTAACACTTGTATATAAGGATTATCTGAGGTATGGAAGTACATGTGAAGTTTGCTTACTACTGGTGGACTCTTTTTTACTACAAATTAAAACACCAGTTCATATATTTTGTTGCATTTTCTTAAATATTAAAATAATTATACTTACACATGTTCCACATATTTTTTAAATCTGTGAAAAAGTTGAGTTCACTCTCATTGAGGTCCAAGGAAATACTTATATCTGAGCAGCAGTTATTGTCATGTTTTGATATGTTTTTACTTGAAACACTAGCTTTTTCCGCAACAGGGTGGTTCACAGTCCTCTGCTGTCTATCACTACCTCTCCCATGGTAATCTGAGTACCTACCTCTTCCTCTTATCCACCCAGGATGGTAAGACATCGTTTTGTTGTACCTTAAAATATCAAGTAACACCTATTAAACTCCCAGACGGCATCGTAGATGATTGTGAAAACACAAAAAATTTAGACTTTCACAGACATGTCACAGAAACAAATGAAAATTAACCTACATATTTGACTTACTTTTTATACTTATTTGTACTTTAAGAAAATATTACAACGCGTGCATAACTTACGAAACACTTAATAACGACCTAAATTAAGGTAGAATAACTTTCAAAATAATAAAATTTGGCTCAACTAAATATTTTTGACGTTTAACGTCAACATTCCAGATCCCAACCTTAAAACGTCAATATTTTTTCTTTTTTACAAAAAATTTAAGTCTTCTCATATTCGGGCGACCGGTTAATATATCTTGTGGCTACTATTTAACATTGAATGTGGACACGGAGAACTGAATAACATAATTGTAAAAGTCTGCTAAAAGAAGCATTTGACATTGACAAGCAGTTGACAGATAGTCACAAAAATTGTTTTGTTTTGGGCCGAGTGTTGTAATGTGTTTATTTTGATAAAAATGAATTCAAATACATTTTATATCAGTTTATCAATATTTATTTTAGTTATCTTAAATAATGCTTTGCAAATAGCAGGTAAGTTATAAAATATATCCGTATTTAATAAAAATTGTTTAAAAAGTGGGCGCGGTTGATGACTCCCCGATGTTTACTTGGAAAATTAATTAATTAAATAGTAACTTGAAATATGAGTCATAATTACAAAAGGGAGATTCCTTGTATTTTCAATATACCAGTGTATGTTGTGATTTTTTATTGAAATGCTTTTAATCAATAATAAAAATACAATTTTATCATACCTAGATATTCTGAAGGAAAAACCGAACATCCCAAGTTTACATTTACCGAAATATATCTTTTGATATAGATTTATCAACAGCATTAGTAGCATATCATTCATGTATATTCAGTCCAAAGTTATAGCATTATAGTTAGAGGGATATAGGTTGTGTAGGTACAAGAAATACCTCATTTTGATTTAACTAGAAATTGTATTGTATTGCCAGTAATACGTCAATTTTATTTGTTTATTTTAAAGAGAAAGAAACTGCAATTATTATTGAGCCAAATTATTAAAAAATAATGTAACAAAATGTACTATATTTTAAAATATTACTGGATTACCATTTTTTTAAGCTAGGGTTAAATTACAGTGAAAGTTTTATAGTGAAAAAAACTCGAAGCAGTAATGTTTGTGAAGAAAAAAGCCCCCTTAAATGAGCAGTGAAGAAGAAAGAAAACAAACTTAACTAGCTCACCTTATGAAATTAGAAATGCTCATAGAAACAATGCTACATTCGGTTTAAAATAATTTTACAAAATTATTATCATTTTCAGTACCTAACGACTTTAGCATATAAATTAAATTGAGTATGTAATTAATAAAAACACAGTATATCAAAACTGCCTCTACAATAGGGGTTTTAGTATGCAATGATAACACCTAGCTATACTAATGATAGGCAGATTATAATATCTGAATTTGTTGGTTATTATTTTTTTATATTTCAAAATTCACACTCCACATAATATATTTTAATTCATCATAGGAAATTAGACAAAATTTATTTGTACAACTTTTTAAGTGGACTTTATTTAGGTATGGATATATAGGGTGTTAAAATTTTTATAAAAAATAATTTCCCCTTTGCCACTTATGCCTGTCCATGAAATAATATTTGGCACAGTTATACCTTAAGCCTGTCATACATATATTTGGTCCTTTTATCCCCTAAGCCTGCTTATATTCCCTTTACCACTTCACCTGTCCATGTAAGCATATTGGGCAATTTACCCCTTAAATCTGCCTATGTAATAATATTTGGATTGGAATATTTGCCCCTTAAGCCTGCTCATGTAAAAATAATATTTGTTTTATTTACCTTTTTCATCCTAATATCCATTCGAGAGTAGGTTAAAGCTGTGCAAAATGTTCTATGATTATCACAGACGATCCACATATAAGAATTTAATTATTTCTTTTCTATTTTTGTGGTACACCACTGCTTCTTGACACGTTAAGCACCAAGGGGATTTCCACAGTTTATTCTCAGAGGCCAAGCACATTTTTGTTAAACCTACTGCTATATACCTATTCACACCATGCCTTAAATGTTTAAGCTCCCTGGCCATTTTGTTATTTAGTTCACTATATTTTGTTGAAAGTATGATGGATATTGATATTATTGGAAATATTGATGCAACTGTTCCCTGGCATAATCTAAACAATAATTTATACTTACCATTTTACAACTTTAATTTACTAACTTTACATGACTTATATAAAATATTGAACTTGAAATATTCTGTATTTAATATTCTTAATTCTGAAGTTCTAAAGGAAGCAGTAATGTTTGTGAAGAAAAAAGCCCCCTTAAATGAGCAGTGAAGAAGAAAGAAAACAAACTTAACTAGCTCACCTTACAAAATTAGAAATGCTCATAGAAACAATGCTACATTCGGTTTAAAATAATTTTACAAAATTATTATCATTTTCAGTACCTAACGACTTTAGCATGTAATTAATAAAAACATACAGTATATCAAAACTTCCTCTATAATAGGGGTTTTAGTATGCAATGATAACACCTAGCTATACTAATGATAGGCAGATTATAATATCTGAATTTGTTGGCTATTATTTTTTTATATTTCAAAATTCACACTCCACATAATATATTTTAATTCATCATAGGAAATTACACAAAATTTATTTGTACAACTTTTTATTGTGGACTTTATTTAGGAGTGGATATATAGGGTATTAAACTTTTTATAAAATATAATTTCCACTTTGCCACTTATGCCTGTCCAGGAAATAATATTTGGCACAGTTATACCTTTAGCCTGTCATACAAATATTTAGTCCTTTTATCCCCTGAGCCTGCTTATATTTGGTCTTTTTACCACTTCACCTGTCCATGTAAACATATTGGGCAATTTACCCCTTAAGTATGCCTATGTAATAATATTTGGACCCTTTAACTGACCCATTTAAAAATATTTAGCCCTTTGTCCCTTAAGTTTGCCTGTGTAATATTTGGAATATTTAACATTTTAACATTTAACTGATTTAAAGTAGGTCCATACAGGCCTCCCCATACTAAGATTCCATACCATAGTATAGATTCTACTAGACTGTAGTATAATGTTATTAGTAGATCCTAGTTGAGAAATTGTTTTAGAAGATACAATTTATAAATTAGAAATCTAAGTTTTTTTGCTATATATATTATATGGCAGTCCCATTTTAAGTGGTGGTCTATAATTATACCTAAATATTTATATGTTTCTGTTTCCTGTATGTCTAAATTTTGACATGTTAAGCTTCTAAATTGAGGTCGATCAGCCACTGTCTTTGAAAAAGCAATGTAGTTTGTTTTGTTAACATTCAAAGACAATTTAAAAACATCCAGCCAGTTATTGACATGTTCCATTCCAGCTATAGCACGTGTCTTGACAGCTTCCCAATCTTTATCACTGAAGACTAGCACTGTATCATCAGCATATGATACAACTTTACCTTAAATATCAATCTGAGTTATGCTCTTAATGTATAAATTAAATAGTATAGGTCCCAGAACAGTCCCTTGAGGCACTCCGATTTGTATATTTTCAGGGTTACTCACGTTGTCTCTGACCTTTACCTTCTGTTGTCTGTGTGTAATTTAGTTTTCAAAAAACCTTTAACACGATGCCTCTCATTCCATTCTGTTCAAAAACATTTAAGAGCTTCTGATGTGGCATCGTGTCAAATGCTTTTGCTAGATCTAGAAATATAGCTATACACTTGTTACCAGTATTCATTTCATCAGTAATATATGAAATCAATTCATGCATAGCATCTCCTGAGTTGACCCTCAGCAAAGCCATATTGGTGCTTGGTAAGCAAGTCATTAGTTTTTAAAAAATCTGTCAGTCTTTCACACATTTCTCAAATATTTTGGTCACATTACTAATTAAACTAATAGGTCTATAGTTAGTTATTAATTTTTCATTACCAGCTTTATAAATAGGTGTTATAATTAAAGTTTTAAATTGTTTAGGTACGATTCCTGTATTAAAAATACAATTAATTATATGCATTAAAGGTTCCAGTAAATACGGATGTAGTAGTTTCAGATGTTTTACTGTTACACAATCAAATCCCGGGGCACTATTGTTTTTTAAACTATATGTGTTTTATAATATCGTTTTCGCATATCGGTTTCAGAAACATTGATTTTTCAGTGACACAGGAAAATCCACATTACATTCAGGGATATTTGTGAACATATTAGTGCCAATAGTCGAAAAGTAGTTATTGCAGTAATTCGTCATTTCATTATCATTTTCAAATTCCTCATTATGTTGGTTAACAATCTGTAAATTGGTATCATTTTTTTTATGATTTTCATTAGTTGCTTCAGAGATAAGTTTTTTCAGATCATTTTTGTTTTGGTTTATTTTATTATAATAGTCATTTTCAGTTTTTGATATTAGTTTGTTTAAATTATTTCTAAATGTTTTATAGTGAGTTTGTTTGTTAATAGTATAGTTTTTTGTAGATCTTTTTTAAGTTTATCCCTAGTTTTAATAGAATTAATTAAACCATTTGTTATCCATGGCTTTATTATTTTTTTATGGATTTTAATTTTAATATTTTGGGTGGTTTGACATGTTTCAATGATATTAAGATACATGTCATAAAAAAGTTGTGTTGCAATTTCTAGATTATTTTCATTGCAAACACTTTATCAGTATCGATTTTAGTTATAGTTTTATATGTATTGTAGGAACTTGTGTAGTTTTTGGCAGATTGTGAGATATTTATCATAATAGGATCATGATCAATCATATCATAGCTGATTACATACGAGTTCACCGATAGATTTTCAGTCTTAATATTGTTTTTTAAGAATATATGATCCAAGCATGTTTTACTTCGTGGCCTCATAATAGTGTTTATGTAAGACATGAAACCATGGAAGTAAAAAGTTGCTTGGTAATTAGTAGTTACTTGATTGGTTACATTTAGAAGATGAATATTAATGTCCCCTATGAATATTTCAATATTTCTATTTATGTGATTTGGTATGAAATTTTCTAAATCCCTTATAAATGCTTGTGCAGAGGTTTGAGGAGACCTGTATACACCTGTAATGCCAATGGTCCGATGATTGACTTTTAGATTTATTTTAGTGACACAAATATCAGAATATTCCAGTTTAACTATATTTAATTCTGCATTTAGATTTGACATGGCCAAAATTACACCATCATTTCTGTAAAAATAATATTTGTTTTAATTACCTTTTTCATCCTAATATCCATTCGAGAGTTCGTTAAAACTTGTGCAAAAATCTTGTATGATTATCACAAAAGATCCACATATAAGAAAATTAATTATTTATTTTCTATTTCCACAGTTTATTCTTACATGCCCAACACTTTCTTCTTTAACCTACTGCTATATACCTATTCACACTATACCTTATATGTTTAAGCTCTAGCTCCATGGCCATTTTGTTATTTAGTTCACTATATTTTTATCAACAATTTATATTACAAAATGCATCAACCGGTATCACCAGCTTTTCTACCTGTGATATGCTGAACGTGATGCTCCTAAGTTCTTTGTCATATGCAGGTCAAAATTTCTGGAAAATCCATTCAGTTGACGAAGAACAATTGAAACCAAAAGAAGACAAAATAATATGGTGCACTATAACTGCCGAAGAACAACAAAAATGTCGGAACTTTTCTCTAGCAAACGAAAGAGATCAAATCAGAGTAGCATACAGAACAATCAAAATAGAATGTCAACAGGCTGCCAATAAGAGAGAATGCATGCAGTTGTTAGATGAAGAGACGGCTACAATGACTACATTGGATGCTGGACAAGTCTTTGTTGGTGGAAGGTATGTATTTTGTTAACCCATGTATTCACCAAAATAGAAAATAGGAATAAGCAAGAATGTGGAAGAAATCTCCATTCAGTCGTTTTGGATTTTATTTTAGATTTATACTTATTGAATGGAACCGGTTTTCCTTTGTTTAATATGGTAATATGAGTATCACCTTCACTCATTCTATACAGCATGTTATTCTTTGACATTCCACAAAGATCACTGTAACTGGAATTAAAGGTCCACTATGATGTCAATTGCCATTGCTCTGAAGTTAAATGTTTTCATTTTGCTTGACTCATAACTACAACTTTAACATACTTACATAAACAAAATTTGACATATGCTTATGCACTTGAACTCAGAAATGTCTCATCAGACAATTATTTATAATTTTCATATTAGATAATACCCAGAGTAAAACGATTTTTTATTATCTTTTCCATAAAATCCTTTATAATTCATAATAGGTACATTAAAAAAATTGCACTCACCTACTCAATACGTATTTAGAAGGATGAGGATTAAGTTTAAAAGATTTCTTATTAAAATTATGCATCTAATGTATTTTTAATTACCTATTCAAAAAGTTAACTGTTTATTCAATATTCAATAAATAATATGGTAATTGCTTTTAAAAACTATTTACAAAATTAGACCATTTGTAATATATCTAAAAAATTCAAAAAACAATTACTGTCAAAGCATCTCTGGCACATCCCCATAATTGAATCCCGTAAAGCCACACCAGTCATACGATGTTGTAAATTCATATTTTACTATGTACTGAGAGTTTTGTGTTTCTGCCAAAGAGCCAGGTTATAATTCAGTTCTTTCCTTTTTAATATGTCCTTACATTTAGCACATGAGGTACAGTCTTTTTGTTGATATTTAGAGAGAGAGAAAATTGGTAGCAGTTTAGAGTTTTCTTACAGATTTTTCTTAGTCCTCATGAAGTCCAAAGAGAGCAGTATCATCAGCGAATGTAATTACAGTCATATATACTATGTTGCTAGTATAGAACAAGTGGAAGAAAGGGTACAAGAACACTTCCTTGAGTCACTCCAGCTCTTATTTCTTTTAAATTAGAATATTCGTCTCCACTTGATTCTGGAAATGTCCTGAGTTATAATCTCTACATTTTACTTGGGGAGCATTTTATTTAGTTTACGAACCAAACATTGTTCAAAACGTCTAAAAATACTACTATGATCAATTTTTGTATCTTATATCAGAGGTAGCTTGCTTGCTTATTGGTGTTTATTCTTTTGGTGAATACGTAGGCTTTAGAAATTAATAGAACATTCCCTATGTTTATCATCTTTATAGATACCACAGTTTGATTCCTCTTGCTCAAGAAATTTTAGAAGGTGGTTTCAATTATTATTACGCAGTGGCCGTGGTTAAAAGAGGCACTTTAAGTCATGTCAATTCCTTGCATCACTTACGTGGTACCAAAGCTTGTTTTGCTGGCGTTGAAACATTTGCCGGATGGATTCTTCCAATAAATACGGTAAGTGATTAATTTTACTGAAATATGAAAAAAAATGCACGAGATTGTAATTCATAAATAGTTAGGTAACCATAACAGAATATTTAAACCAAATTTTCGAAATCTAGGTATTTTGAGACATTTTGTGCTTGCAATACTCATTTTAACTATTTTTCAGTTAATGAACGAAGGAGGTATGGAAATAATTGACTGTAACAATCACGTTAAAACCGCCATAAATTATTTCGGTCCTTCTTGCGCCGTCAATTGTCTGACAGACCAATACAATCCCATCGGTGATAACTCAGACAAACTTTGTCAAATTTGCATTGGTAAAATTCCTGGCGGTAGATGTACGGACTCTGATCCATACGCCGGGTACGAAGGAGCTTTTAGGTGTTTACTGGAAGCCGGTGAAGTGGCTTTCATGAAACACAACACCATTCCTGAGCTACTGAACGGACTTGAATTTGGTAAGAACGTTATTTATTTGTATTTTTTTTTTGCTTTATAATGCATAGAGACAACATTTAATAAGGTTTGTTTGATATCAAAGGGGAAATACCTTCCGTTATATGAAATCTATGAACTAGATGTCTCTAATTACTCCAGTTTTGGATTATCGGTTGCACTTGATGTTCTTTTGCCCTTTTTTGGACTTTAAATAATCGTTTGGGTGTGATTGATGTAGATCCTTCAACCTCTGAGTTTTGGCTATCTTCTACAATTATTTGGAAAATTGTATTTACTTCTTTTATAATGTTAGTGAGAGTTTTGAGATCATTCTTCACTATAACTTGCAATAGCAACGGTTTTTTTTTTTTTTGTAAAACTGTTGGAAAGAAACACTTTTCTTAAAATATTTGCATATACGAAATTTATTTTCTTTGCTTGTTTACGTAAATATTTCGACATTTTAACATAAGTAAATCACTGCTCAGAACAAACAAACACTATGTTCTTTATTAATTGTACAAATACAAAGAAACATTGTCTTATTGAACACTCAAACCAGGCGGCTATTGTTTTTATTTCTCTTAATCAACCTGCAGTTCTGCGTAAAAATAAATGTGTGCAGGACACGGCCTAAAATGTGTAGTTTAAGTGGACTGTATTAAGCGGTGGACAACGACTCGTGGCTGCACATGATGCTTCGATTTTCAACTACTTTTTTAAAATAAGGTTACTGAAAGGTGGGAAAGAAGGGGGATATGAATAAAATATTACTGTTTATAAATAACTACTATATTAAGTATTAGAAAAAACAGTTGACAATATTTACATAAGTGCTAAGCGACTTAGCACACAATCTGGCAACAATGCTTAATTGACAGCTAATAAAATGGTGGTATAATTCGCAGGGAAAATAAAGGGCATATTTGAAAGTTTTAGGGTACTTCCAGACTTTTTATTACATCAGTACCAAGCTTACATATAATCCTTGAGCACTACACTTCACACTTTTTATACTAGTACTTTCACTGATATATGAGATGCAATTCTGATGTTTTACCGGGAACTCGTCACCACGGAAATTAAAGTGTTTTAAAAAAGAGTTAGGTACTTTGGGTTTAGTGGGATATAGGGTATCGCCAATATAAAAGGGTATCTTCACACTAACACACACACGTGATTAGTATAACTTTTTAACTGCTGTATAACTGACGCCGTTCGGGACACATCTGTCCTGTGTCGCCAGGAGCAGATAATTCTTGACCGTTATTTCCGCATTTTTAAAGGGAACCGAGTTGGCGCATATTCATCGGGCATTGAAAATTTGGCGCGGTAAATTTGAATTTAACTACCGTTGAGAATTACTCTTGAATTCTCAACATACTAGGGGGGGGCGCGAAATAGCAACAGTAATTTTGACCGCTTATCCCTAATACAGGCGTCCCTGTAATAAGAACAATTGCGCGAGCCAGCGAGTGAGAGGGAGACCACCTAGTAGGTGGTTGCGCTCGAGAGTAAGGGCATTGGTCTTATATTATATAAGATCCAACAGGAGCAATAGCGAGTGATAAATTAAGCATTTAAAGAGAGTATCAACAGTAACCAATGTTACTAGACGCTAAAAATATGTAACACGAGAGTTAAAATTTAAAAATAAGAATGAAGGGTTCAAGATAGCGAATGAACATATTATAAGGCCCATGTGAACTCGAATGATTGATGTCGCAGCTCGCCAAAGAGCACTTGCCTAATTAACGTCCAACTAGTTGTTCGGATTACTGCTTTGAAAAACCACCACAACCACTTAAATCCAAGATTTGGCCTATGCGCTGCCTTGACCCACAAAACTAAAATATTTATTAAAAAAATTAATTCTAAACATAAGGGGCCCTTCAAAATATCCCATAAATTCAATAAAGTGGGTTACTAACTAGAGGGAGGTGTTTGATCTAATATTAAAGGGCAAATCTTTGAAATAGGGCGCGTGTATTCACCATTAGCTGTTAATAGTTTAACAACTCTAACTCTGCCATCTTTTCCTGGCATTACTTCTACAATCCTAGCCAATGGCCATTTTAATGGGGGAGAATTATCGTCCTTAACCAGCACAATGTCGTCCTTTTTCAGATTTTCATATGGCTTAATCCATTTTGGGCGATTCTGTAGTCGATTTAAATAATCAAGGGACCACTTTTTCCAGAACAATTGTTTTATTTTAGTACACTGTTCCCAAAACGATAGTCGATTTTCTGGGGTGTTAGAGACATCCCTATCAGGGTATGCTGACAACGGGGCACCTATCAAAAAATGACCAGGCGTAAGCACTTGAATTTCTGAGGGGTCTGACGACAAGGCATACAACGGGCGTGAGTTCATAATAGCTTCAATTTGAGTTAGCACGGTACTAAACTCTTCGAATGTTAGTTGGGAGTTTCCTATAATTCGAGTGAGGTGAAATTTCGCGCTTTTAATGGCCGATTCCCATAAACCACCCCAATGTGGGCTATTGGGGGGAATAAATTTCCAAAGGGTTTCATTCTGTGACAGATAATCTTTAAAGGTGTCGAAAATTTTACGCGAGTTGAAGAAGTTGTAAATTTCTCGTAACTCGTTTCTAGCTCCAACGAAGTTGGTGCCGTTGTCTGTATAAACAATTGTGGGGTTTCCTCTACGGGAGACAAAACGCTTTAAAGTGGCGAGAAAGGCTTCCGTAGATAGACTGGAAACTAATTCTATATGCACAGCTTTCGTAACCATGCATACGAACAGAGCGATGTAACATTTTGTTACTGGGGCTTTGCGCAAGCGCGAAGATTTAATGAGGAACGGTCCTCCAAAATCTATCCCTGTTCTATTAAAAACACGAGCGACTGTGACTCTGTCACGGGGTAATGGTGCCATAAGCTGAGTTGCCACTTTGGGATTTAACCTGCTGCATGTGACACAATCTTTAATGGTTCGCTTAATTTCGCGTAGTCCATTTAAGGGCCAAAATCGTAAACGAATATTTGATAATACCGTTTGAGGACCAGCATGTCCTAAACGAGCATGTTCTCTCCTCAATAAGAGCTCTACAGCATACTCTTTCGAAGGGAGTAAAAAAGGGTGCTTTTGAGCATAAGAGATATCAGCGTTCTCTAACCTTCCACCTACCACAAGTAGGCCATTCGTGTCAATAAAAGGTCGCAATGCAGCAATGGGTTTGTCAGAAATGTTTTGATTCAAAGAAATTTGTTTAAATACTTTTTCAAAGTGCAATTTTTGAACAATTTTTATTATAAATAATAAAGCAGCGTCAAGTTCGGAAACCTCGAGTGACCCTAACCTTTTTGTATTTGGATTCTTAACATTATGAGCAAAACGTAAAATATAAGATACAGTTCTTTGCAATATGAAGAAACTAGAAAATTTTGAAAAAATATTTTCCCAAAATGTGTCTTTCCGAAAAACCGGTAACGCTACTTTTCTCTCTTCTGGGGGGTTTTGAACTATACAAGGGGCAATAAACTGTTCTAAATTTAAATCAGCTTCTTTCAACAGGTCAGGACCGTGTAACCAGAAATTTATAACATTCTTATTAAAAACACCTCGAGATAATATATCTGCTGGGTTTAATCTTGAGCTGATATGTCTCCAAGTACACCTTTCCGTTAATTCCTGAATCTGCGATACGCGGTTAGCAACATAAGTTGACCATTTACTAGCTGGGCTTTTGATCCAACATAAAGCGACTTGTGAATCACTCCATAAATTTACAGCGGTAATTTCTATTTTATTTTGAATAACATCAATATTTCTTTTAATTAATTGTGAAAGCAGTACCATAGCGTTTAACTCCAACCGGGGAATAGTTATTAATTTCTTTAAGGGAGCCACTCTAGACTTTGACGTCATAAGATTGCAAGTTACAGTGTTGTCAGCATAAACTGCTCTGATATATACCGCGGCTCCAAAACATAGAGAGCTGGCATCTGAGAAACCATGCAGATCTATGCTCACAATCTTCTTATCTGCAAATAAATAGCGGGGAATTTCTAATAGAGCTAATTGCGAAATACTTTGTAAAAATTCGGTCCATGCCTTGAGTATATGGGGATCAGCTACTTCTTCGTCCCAATCAAATTTTCCTAGCCAAAGTTTTTGCATCAGTAGCTTACCATTAACGAGAACAGGGTTCACTAGACCTAAAGGGTCAAAGCATTGACTCACAGAAGAGAGTATTCGACGTTTCGTGACTGGGCGCATCTCTAAAGAAGTGGGTACAGATATTTGAAAATTATCAAGTATTGGATTCCATTTTAAACCGAGTAGTTTGCATGAAACTTGTTCCAAATTTAAATCAAGTTCATTTACACACGACTGAGCTATATTTTCTAAGAATTCTTGGGAATTCGAACCAAATTTATGAAGTTGAAAACCTGAAGAGTTTAAAGCGGAGAGTAGTTGATCATATAATAGTTTTAAGAGAGATAAATCATTAGCGCCTGCTAAAACGTCATCCACGAAAGTTTGAGTAAGGATGGCGTCCGAGGCTAACGTGAGGGCTGAATTGCGATGAGCAATATCCATCAGAATACGCGTGGCGAGCCATGGAGCAAAACATTGGCCGAACGAGAGCGTTTGCAATTCAATGCATTGTAGTTCAGCTGAAGGCGAATCTCTCCATAATATATTCTGAAGAAAGTTATGGTGGGGGTTCATTATTACTTGCCTATACATCTTAGAAATGTCCATAGTCAAAACATATCGAAAAAGACGGAACCTACCCAGAATATCATATAGCTCTGGCTGAACGGGAAATCCTTTTAGAGTGACGTCGTTTAAAGACACTAAAGCGCTAGATTTACATGAAAAGTCAAAGACAACACGGAGACGCGTACTCACACTTTGTTCTCTCACGACACAGAGATGGGGTATAAAGTATTTGTTTTGTGACAGGTTATTAGTCATGGTTAAAGGGACATATTTGCCATGACCTAGTTCAATATATTCGTCTATAAATTTTTTATATTCTTTAAAC